ATATTAAGGCATGTAACTTTTCTGTAGTAAAACCAACACCCAAACTTAAAAAATTCCTCACAAGGTAGGCAAAGGAATTTTAGCCTTCCGTCCTTCTTATATTTTATATGCTAACAAGGGTCTGAGCCCACAGATCTCAATGTCTTTAAGAATTTCTAATTGTAATATAAAATTACAATTTAGGCATTTAACCTTTTCTTTGCTGGCATGGATTAGCAAGATTATTTTATGGTAAGGGTTTCTTGAAGCGCTGTGTGTGTCTTTTTGTGTCTGTGTATATGTGTATGTTCTGTGTACATTTTATAATTTATCTGTGCATAAATTGTTTATGCTCATGTGTATTCAAGTTTCTACTCTGAATTTAAGGGTTTATTTTTATGTGTGTTTAAGCATAAAATTAAGTAGACATATTTCCTTAGAATAATAAATATCCAATTAGTATTATTATATTCATTTGCTAGCAAGACACAATGTTATAAGGCCAGAAATGTGCAAACTACACAGATTTTAATAACTTAGTGTCAGCAACAACAATGTACAAAATAGTCATCTAATCATCTAGAGAAATGATGAAGGTATTGAAAATGTCAGAGTTCATTTATTCAAACAGAGTACTGACTGAAAGACTAAAGATTAAAATTTAGATTTCAAATATGCATCGTGAAAAGACTTGGCCATGTTCGTTTTAAAATATAATAAATCTGTGTGTATATTTTTCTGTGTGCGTGTATGTATGCTTGTATATGTGGGAGTACATGTGTGTCCACACATGTACATTGGTGTAGGTGTGTATAGGTGCATGTGGGTGTTTGTGTATATGTGTGAATGCATGCATATTTGTCAGTGAGTGTATGTGTGATTACAAACACAGATAACTACAGGAGGGGAGGGAATTCTCAGTGAAAGAGGCCTTCAGCTCAAAATACCTAAGAGTGAATCCACATTACACATATGCAAGTGACTAAAATATAAAATTGATTACCAGTATCCCAGATATATGCATCAGGGGAATAATTCCTCTAGTCCAATCTGTCCCAGTGAGGTGGGACATTAGACCAGCTGCATGTAGATCTCAATCTCATCAAAACATTTATTTAAATGTCCTAGATTAGACCAAGATAAAGTTGCATGGCATTGGACAAAGGCTCGTATGTGCATTTGGATGTGTGAAAGGGGAGGGTTTGCCAACTTCTCCCATCCATCATTGCTGTAATTCTTTGTTCAAAAATGGTGTCCTTCTGACAAGAAGATGACACTGCTAACATACTATCAATAGGTAATACACTTCAAACTGTTTCTTCAGAAGTGAAAATGAATTTTGCAGGGCTATTCAAAGAACAGTTTTGTTGGGTCTTCCAAATGGCTGATAACCCATGTTCAGAAAAAGGCTGGCCAGGGTGAGTGGTGCAGTCTGTAAACAGACACACATGGAGTTTTGAAACCACAACCTCATAGTTCTTTAGCACCATGCTCAAACCCACAAAGCCAAATGGCTGCACATGGGTTAGAGCCTAAGACCTAGCACACATTAGCACCATGTTCCAATCAAATAAACCCCCCAGCCAGAAACTACTTACAACGGTAGCACCCCCAGACTTGGCTGGGTGTTGAGTTCAGATTAGTTGCTGCTGAAAAAAATCTAAGCAAATCCCACAAAAAAATCAAACTACCAAGAGGCCAAATTCTTCAAGCATCCTGTCCATCACCAAAGTTGATGGGTAGGCAAAGTCGAGGCAGCAGCAAAAACTGAAGCTGGATCATCTGTCAAGCATGGAACATTCCAGATCTTCAGCCTTACTGAGGGGGGAGGGTGTCTGAATCTTTGGAGGATAAAGGTGGGAATAGGGAGGGTTTATCCTGGGAATGAGAACATTAGGTGAACATACAATAGCACAATAATCATTTAAATTACAATGACAGCTCTTTTATCTGAATTTCTCCTATGTCTAAGCAAGTAAAGGAGCATATCAGAGCAAGATATAATTCCTCCAAGAAACACAGGCTACCTCAGGGCAACTTCACTCTGCCCTCTCCTCAGGGGGAGGCAGTCTTAGACAGTCAGCCTGATTGTCCTGGGATGTATCCATCCTGCCAAAAGGAGAATGAGAAAGATAACTCTGTCCTTAGAAGAATAAGGATTTACATAAGGAGAAAGAAAAAGATACCAGCAGAGCTCACCACTCACAAAGACTAGTAATTTCAAAACAGCTGAAGCTGAAAGGTGGATGTGCAATTTACAATGATGCCACCAGCAGATGTGGTCATCTACTTAGTCCAGGACATCTTTAAATATTTAGTCCTGTACTTGTGTGAATATAGTTCTTTCTTTAAAAAAACTTTTTGGATTTTTTTGGTTTTGTTTTGGTGGTGAGGGTAGGAAGAGAGAGAATATAAAAAAGGTTCATTCATGAAAGTGAAAATAGAAAGAAGCAAAGATTAAACTACACTTCTTTCCCCTCAGCTTGTTCTTGATCTAAAAAAGGGATGCAATACTTTAGCAAGTATGAAAAATTTCCATAGCTACCTGGAGTTCTGATTTCAAAATATTCAATTTTTGCTTTCACCAGGTAGGATGACTAAGTCAGAAGTTAAACTCCAGTTAATCTGCTTCATGCCTCTGGCTTGCCTTTTTCCAGAGGAAACTAGAGGATTCAAAGGATTTTGAATAATATGTACGTGATAAAAATACAATGATTAAGATGACAAGAAAGGGAAGATAATTCAGGAGAACAGAGATGGAAGCAAAAGCACACATACACTCTAAAGAGATGATAACCTATTCTCAGAACTGCTAAAGCCAATGGTTGTGGGCAGTCACTATGTAAATTCACAGCAAATGGAGTAGTGAAATTCTGAAGCCAGTCAGCTGGGCCTGGAACATCTAAGAATCTCCAGGGTTATCCTGTGATAATAAAAGTCCATTGTTATTGTTGTTAGTTATTAGTTATTTTATATTTTTAAAAAGTTATTTTGCTTCTTTAGGGGGGATGAATATAGGAAAAGGAGGCAAAGGGGGAAATGAGCAATAGCTAAAATGCTGTGGAATAGAAAGGGTTTAATAAAATAAACAAACATGAGTGGCTAGAAAAGAAACCTTTCAAAACTGGAAACAATTCCAAAGTAAACAAGGTCATGTTCTTGGGGGTCACTGAATGGTACTCACTTCCCAACAGACACAGAGGGTATGGCCTAAGTCTGGACCATTTCCTCCATAATCCTGCAGTGAGTCATTTTATCCTCCAGGAAGGCACAATGGGCAGCCACCTTCTGATAGTTAAATTAAATGAGAAAGGAATATAGAAGAGAAAAATGTTATCAGTGGCCACCAATCACTCTGACCACAACACATTCCCACAAAGGGGAATGGAACAAGTCAGAGATTACAAAGTTTAAATTCAGAGGCTGCATTTTCCCAGATGCTCAGGCTTCCACTAGAGAAGTCTGAATTCTGAAGAGAAGATAGAGGGAATTGATGAAAAATACCTAAAATGCAGTGAGAAAGCAGTAGTTTAAACTATACATCAAGAGTTCAAAGAAGTGAAAAATGAACAGATAGATAATGGAGAACGAATGAAGAAAGAAGGAATAATTAGAGAAGAAGTGCTGAAGAAGGAAGAGACTAGGAAGGAATGAGGAAGCTGGAGATGGAAGAGGAGGGGCATTAAGAGGAGTAAAGAGAAAATGAAAGAGAATTAAGGGAAGGGGGAAGAAGTGAAGAGGGGAGAAGATAAGATGGGCAGAAGTAGGGAGAAGGGAAAGAAGAGGGAAGGGGAAAAAAGAGACATGGAAAAGTGAGAAGAAGGAAGGAATTTGTAGGAGGAGGAAAAGGAGAAGGAGGAAGAAGAGAAGGGTGGAACAGAAAAAATAGAGGAGAAGGTGCTGAGGAGAGGAGATAGAGGGAAGAAGGGGAGAAAGGAGATGAAAGGGGGAAGACAGGGTGTGAGGAAGGGAATCAAGAGGAGGGGGAGAAAAAAATCCCACCCTCATCTTGGCATCTTCCTGACACACACAGCTATACTCTTCAAAGAGCCTTAATAACATTGTCTCCACATGAAAGGCAGTGGCAGATAGTTATTTCCTCATTTCTCTTGAGCTGAAATCTTCATAGGCTAGAGGGATGGAAACAAATCAACAGTAAACACATTACATTTTTTGTATCCAGAGAAAGAAAGGCAGGACTAAACAACACAAGTTTACATTAGACAAAGTATGTTAAATGTAGAGTCAAGAAACAGAATTTTTTTGATTTTGCAGTGCTAACTTGGGCACTTGAATTGTCACTACATTTAAAGGAAAGTTATCATCAAAATATTGTATTTGCAATCTGAAGAAATAACTCAGGTGATGTGGAGTGAGCCATTTAACTGCCTTATCTTTTTCTGTAAGATTTCCCATTCTCATTTTTCCATAAAGAGATAAGATTACTTGCATTCATCGGGAGCTCTAAGTTCCCAGAGAACCCAATTAAAATTCAGGAACTATGCATTTCTCTTCTGTCACTTCTCTGGGAATGTTTTGGACACAATATGGACATTGACCTCTTGCCCATCTAAATAAAGTATAAGTAATCTCTGGGGGCTCTTGCAGCTCCTGAGACAATGTCTAAAATGTCAGAAGACAAGTGCCATGGCCAGATGGGCACACAAAGAATGAAGAAAGAACAGTCTTCAGAATCAGAGGTGAAATTCAGGAGACCCAAGTCAGAGTGTAACTTTTTTTTGAGTGGTCTAAAAACATCTCTGATGAGCTTAGAGATCTAATAGCTTCTGTTTACTTGCTGTTGGGAGAAAGAAAATGTTGGAAAGGAAACAGAAAAAAGGACAGACAGAAGAAAATGAAAGAGAAAGTGACACATATATGGTGGCTCACATGGCCCCCATCCCTCAAGTTTCAACCCCTTCCTCCATTCCCCCACCATGTAAAATGAATGAAACTTAATTGTTTTGGTACCACCCTATCTGAGTTTTTGAGGATGGATAATCTATCGCGGTCTGGGCAGCTTAAACTCTAGGCACTGGTGGGTAGAGAAAGGAGGTTTCCACCTCTGGGGATGGAGGGGGACTGGGTAGCTCATCAAAATCTTTGAATCGTGGGAATTTGGGCACTCCAGGATTGGGATCCACCCTAGCAGGGTGGTGAGTGGGTGAGACAGAGCTCAGTTGGCGGTGTTCCCCTCTCAGGCGGCTGATTCCGTCTAGTAGCATCTTCTGAATTTCCATTATGACCTTCTGAACTTCAATATGGAAGCTATCGCTGAGCCAGCAATAGATGTAAGGGTTGTAGCATGAGCTGCTAATTGCAAGCCAGTGGAGGAAGAAGTAGAGACCATTGTGGCTTGAGATGGATTCACTGGATAGCAGCACCAGATAGAGGTTGAGAGGAAGCCAGCAGATCGTGTAGACAAGCACCACCATCATCAGCATCTTCAGGCTCTGCTTCTTCTTCCCACGCTGGCAAATGTAGGTGTGGATATTGATGTCATCAACAGCATTATGGATCCACAGCTTCTTGGCCACATGACCATAGACGACCATCAGCACCATCAATGGCAAGATGAAGAAGAGCAAAAAGGTGCTCAGGTCCAGGTATTTCCATGTGGATTTTGAAGTATAGGAGAAACTGGGGAGGCAGACGGTTTCTTCAGTTATGTTTCTAGGTTATAAGAAAGACAGAGAAATAGAAACGTTAACTTAATTTTTCTTTTCCCTTAGCCCCACAGCCAGGTGTTATATGGCAGACAGGCCTTAAGAAAGAGACATATTTACTACTGTGTCTGTACTAGGACTAAAGACTAGAGTTATAAAGTAGGGAGTTTTAGTGTTCACCAATTCCAGACATATCATGATATATATGGAAACAATGGACCCCAAACTGAAAGTGATATGCCTGACAACCCATTGTCATGAGAGTTCTTGGACACTCTTAATAAATTCCACTCTTAAAATATTCCATGAGGCTTCCAAGGTCACAGGTTGTTGGAATCCAGACACTGGACATCCTGTGTTCCTCTTACCCAATCTCCACTTGGTAAAGCTTTTGGTAAATGGCATGTGGCAAAGCAGCACAGGTGCTCACAATCCAGATGAGAATGATGCAAACATTGCCTTGCATTGGAGTAATTCGGGACTTCAGGGGATATAGCATTACCTGGAAGAAAAGACCCCAGCCCAATTTAACAATTCATATTAGGGTTAAATACTAGTCATTCCTCAATTGACATTCTTTTGCAAAAGTGCAAAGACTTGATAGGTGGGTGAGTAATGTGCTTTGGGTACTAGTTCTGCTGACCAATGAGTGGCATTTTTTAAAACGTTTTTTATTGGTTTCAGAGAAAGAGGTAGGGAGAGGGAACAGAAATAGAAACATCCATGAGAGAGAAACATGGACATGGATTGGTTGCCTCCTGCCCACCCCCTGCTGGGGATGGAGCCCCCAGCCCAGGCATGTGCCCTGCCTGGGAATTGAATCTTGACCTCTTTGTGCATGGGTCGATGCTCAACCACTGAGCCACACCAGCCTGGCAGCATTTTGTTTTCCAAAATAACAAAGTGGGTTAATATAGAGAGAAACATTTAAATGTGAAGTTAACAATCCAAGTGGACTGATTTCAGAGTTTCTGTCTCCCAGTTGGGAGTTCAGTGAAGAGGGATGGATGTCTAGAAGTATAAGTTATTTTTTCTTTATCATGTATTGATGGGTGAGCAATCCACATCCCTCCATCCTTTCCCTGACTTGGTTCTTTTTATGTTCCTATCTCTTATCCCTCCATCCCCTCCTATCTTGATCTTTCCATGGTCAATCTTTCCTCCTTCCCTCCTTTCCTCCTCCCCTTCCTCCGTGCCCTCTTACATCTTCCTTCATCTCCTATTACCTAGATTTTCCTCCATCTGGTTCCAGCCACAACCCCTTTAATCTCCCTCTATATCCCTCCCATTGCACTTATTTCCTGGCATCCTTCTAAGTGATTAACAATGTAATCCCTCCCAACTTCTCACCTCTGGCCCTATCTCCTCCTTTTTAAGTCACTTTCATACCTCCTCTCAACTCCTTCTTCCTCAATCTCTCAATTTCTTTCTATTTCATTTGCTCAGCTCTCATTCACAGACTTCAAGCCCACCTCCCAGAGTCAACCCATCACCAACCCTGAAGCCACACCCTCCTCTGACTCATCCTTTCCCTCTTTTTTTCCTTAGCTGGTCCTGCAATGCAGCAAATAAAAAATGTTTTTCAAAGAAGAAGGAAGACACTTTTTAAAAATCATTTTCCTATTGCCGCGTCTCTGTTTCCATAGCACTATATCAAAGATGATGATATTTTTATTATGTAAGATTTGGTACGGTGAAAGTCTATAATTCACATATTGCAATCCTCCTAAATTATAAATATATATTCCCCCACATAGATTGTCTCAAGGAACTCAAAGAACATTTTAAATTATTTGTGTTCTTAGTTGCTTCCATCGCCTACCCCTTTATAAGACCTGAAGAGCGCTGGGAAACACATACCCGATGTCGGTCCAGGGAAATAGCAGCCATGGTCATCACAGTTACATAGGCACAAGAGTACTGAGCAAAACGACTGAGGTGGCATGTCATCTTTCCAAACACCAAGGAATTACACAGATAGCGCACCTGTGGGGAAAAAAGACATGGTGAGGCACCAGGACTCAGCCCTGGGTATTCCTCTACAACAACCTTGCCCCACCAAACTGCTGGTATTATTGTCTCAGAAAGCAAATATTTTTACATTGCAGTTCTCATGCCCTTCCCATCTTTTTCCACAGAAACAGCCCAGGTTGAAGACGCAGAACTCAAATCACAAAAATTATTAGCCACCTTCCATTCCAAACACTGCATTTAAAAGATGGGGAAACCGAGGCCAGGTCTTTGCGACAAAGCTCACCCGAAACTGCCTCCCCACCAGCCCCGCTGCTTCCTTAAGCCACATAAGTCATTCAGCCTCTGCCAAGTCAGGAGATTAATTCAGCAACGCAATCACGATCAAGCCTGTAGCTACCCTCCCCCCAAGTTCCAAACCTTTTACAACATCTCTCACTCATTCCTGTCTCTACGCACTTGCTGAAACAACTGTACCCATTTCAGCGCTCCTTCCCACTACGCAGCTCTCTCTGTTGCAAGTGCAAAGTTGTGTTTCTGCTCTCATGGCCTCCTCAGGCCATGAGAGACCCCGGGTCGCCCTCCTCAGCACCCAGCTTACCATGGTGAAGGGAGAACTGAGAAAAGCCAGCATCATGTTGGTCACGGAGATGTTGACGACAAAGAGGCCAGTGGCAGTGTGCATCTTCTTGTACTTCAGAATCACATGGTTTAAGACCCAATTGCCTAGTATGGCAGCAAATACCACTATGGTGTACCCTATTACTAGCCAGAACTGTACCCGCTCATCCTGGGACACCATCTCAGAAGCCATGGGACCTGACGTGTCAGCCAGGTTGCCCATGTTGGAGATATGGTCAGGTAGCTTATGAATCATGGAGAGCACGCTATCGCGGCCTGAGCTACCCGCCGCGGACGCGGCATTAGAAATAGCCTGCAGCACCTGGGAGGCGGTGGAGGTGATCAGATCATCAAACCCGCTGGGCACACTCAGAGCTTCTGGGGTCAGTTCGTCCCCGTAGCTCATTGTACTGGGGTTTGGGAAAGCCCCCTGGGGCGATTCGGTGGTGGTCGGGGCGTCCAGCTTGAAGCCTTTGGAAAACCTCAAAATCCTTAAGCTACAGGGTCAGAGAGAGCCAGAGGAAGAGAGAAGGAGGGGTAGGGGGTCTCCACAGAGCGCTGGGAGAGGGCTGCTCAGCGTCCTGCAGCTCTGAGTGGAGAATGCGCTCTGCAAGATGTGGGAGGGGGTGGATGGGAGGATAGCACGAAGGGGACGGGTAAGAAGGAAAGCAAAAAGACAACCGCTGAACCAGCTCGGAGTGGGCAAGTGCGCAGAGCTGAGCTGAGCCGGGCAGTCGAGCGCGGGGCTGGCGAAAGCGGCTGGCTCCAAACGTTCCGCAGCTTGGGATGCGCAGGCAGTGAGGGTTCCGAATTCCGGACAGCTCCAGGCGTTCCCCCAGCACCGTTCCTCCTTCGCGCAGTTGGGGGTCGTTCCGACTAAATTTCTGTCGCCTTGAATTCGTCTGCCTAAGGCCTGCAGGCGCTGTGCTCCGAGCCAGTGAGGGCAGCGCCTTCTGTAACCGCCTTTTATAGAAAGTCTGGGGGCTCGTCAGAGAGCCAATGGGGAGCCGCGGTTGAACCCCCGCCCTGTCCATGCCCGCTGGGGAGCCAAAGAGGTTGGCAAAGTCTGCTGCTATAGTCTTAAGCCCCCTCCTTTCGCTGTTCTTCCCTGGCTCTCCCTCCTCCCTCTTGCTGCAGCTGGAAACCCAGACTTAGGGGATCTTCTCTTGGCAACCCCCATGATCGGCCTTCTTCACCTCATTTTCCTCTTACTCTCCTTTTTTTCTTCTGCACCAGTGCCCAAAATACCATCTGGGAGCTGTGGCACAGGGATCTCAGAGGGTGCTGCGGCGACTGCGGTGGCTACTGGACTGACAGCCCCGTGAACTCACTGACAAGCAGGACACCTCATTCTGTACTAGAAACCTGGTGGTCTTCGAGGAACAGTGGTCACCAGGAAGGATCTGCACAAATTTGGGGGTTATGCAAGGAGAATGAGACAGGAGACAGTTGAAGAACTGAGAGGGGACACTGTAGAGTCTCTGAGAATCCAACTGAGGGTGTCTGGAAGAGGTTGAAGCCAGCATGATGCTGATGCTTTGCTTTCTCCAACACCCAACCAGTAGCTTCAAGAACGCAAAGACCCCGGGTTATGCGTCCAGCCTCCTAGGGGTGAGCTACATTTTTGTCCAACACCCAAGGAGTACCAGTTTTGGAACTGGATGTGGCAGGTTAGAAGGGAGACTGACCACGGTGCCCAAGGAGGGTTTAGGATTTGGCAAGCTTTTGCAAGTCAATTGATTACCCCATAGTCTGATGCTGCAGGAAGCGGAGGATGCGGAGTTCAGCCTTCAGAGTTGCAGTGGAAACTGGCTGGGGTTGAGGATTCACAGACTGCCTTTTCTCGAGAGAGTTTTAAGCTGCCTCCTGGAGAAAGGATCTGGAGACATTTGAATCACAACTAGAGCAACTGAACTTCACCAGAGGTGCTTGGGGGAACACAACAGTGCTCTGAGCCTTTCAGAGTTCAAGAGTATTTTTTACCTTACAATTTCCACCCCTCCCCCCACTAATTTACAAATAAAGAAATAGAGGCTTTGGATGGAAAGAGCTTAAGGAAGATCATAAAGAAAATTATCTAAAGAACCAGGACTAAAATGAGAAGTGTGGAGCTTGGCAGTCTAGGGCATTTTGCCTTGCAGTAAGCTGTCACTGAGAAATCCTGGTGTTTGTTTCAACCGTAGAGTCAAGTCTTCCTAACCACCACCACCCCCATTTTGAGGAGGCTGTGAAGAGAGCCAGCAGCTGCACCCCTCTTCTCCTAAAGGAATCAGTAAGGAACCACACGATATCAATAAGTACTTTATTAAGGCATAAGCAGAAATTCATTATCAATCATTATCATCATCACCACCACCACCATCATCATCATCCAGGCATCAAAGATTATCAGTCAGCCACAAAGGAGGCTAGCAAACTTCTGTGGTGTGTGTGTGTGTGTGTGTGTGTGTGTGTGTGTGTATGCACGCGGCCTGGTCACATACTACTGTTTATGGGTTAAAGAATAGCTAAGGAAGAGATTGGAGGGTTTTGCAACCTATCTGGGGTGTACCCACTTGTGGGAAGAAAGTGGCTGACAGATTAACACAGCGTGACTAATCAGAAAATCTAACTAAAGCTAGGTTTTGTGAATGGGAGCTGAGCTTTCTGAATATAGACCTAGGATTGGAAAAATTACATGGTTACCAGGCAACTTCATAGAAAATAAAGAAAGAAAAAGACCAAAAAAAAAAAAAAGAGGAAATGAAAAAAATAAGCTGTGTCTTATTTGGGTGGCCCACAGAACAGAGACACACACATAAACACATTGAAAGGCGTTTATAAATATAGAGGCACATAAGAGCTGGGAATCATTGATCTCTAATTTGATCCTTCTGCAGCAGTTTCTGAAGGAAGACCACTCAGAGTTATCAGCTGAGCATTCAGGAGGCTTTTTCTCTGTACCTGGCCCTGGGCTGGCTTCCCAAGGGCCTCAAAGAGCTCCAGATTTGGTAAGGAATAAAGGGTATGTTGACATGTAATCGAATAGACTTTTCTAAAATCTAACTGGAGAAGTGCAGAGGTTCTGTGGCAGGAGCTAGAGTGGGAGGATTAAATAGGCAGAGGCAGAACCTGAGAGCTGAGATACTGAAACATGGTCTTGGCCTCCATCAGGCTCTTAGCTATGGTCCTTACCATCTTTGTCCTCTCTGAGCCAGAGTTCCTGCATCTCTCAAAAGAGGTTGGCAATATTTCATTCCCAAAGAAGTGAGGATTCCATGCAACAATATTCCTAGATTGGATTCAGTAAAGAGAAAAATGATGCAGATTATATCATACACCTTCAAACTTTTGACACCACTGCTGACTTTCTTTGTGCAACCCTACCACTGATGCACACGAACTTCTAGAGCCCATGAGCTAACTGAAACCTTGCATGGCATCTTTAGCTAGTTGGAGAATGGAGGGAGGACTGGGGCTAGTGAGCCCATCCATGCACCCACTTCATCAGTGGGAGAGGGGGCTGCCTGGCCATCTTTGGGCCAGGTGATGTGGGGCATTGAAAGAAGAGAACTCAGCACAATCTCTCTTCTTAAGCAGTTTGCAATTACACACTAAAGATAAGAATCCACACTCAGAAAATAATAATTCCAGGCAGGCACAAAATATGCAGTCAATGTTAGAGGAGCAAGCAGTATAAGTGTGGAGTGGGGGTTGAAAAGGTTTTGCAGCCAAGCAGTGTGGCTCAATGGTTGATTGTCAACCCATGCATCAAGAGGTTGTGGGTTCTATTCCCAGTCAGAGCACATGGGCAGGTTGTGGGCCATATCCCCAGTGGGGGGCATGCAGGAGGTTGCCAATTGATGTTCTCTCTCATCGATGTTTCTATCTCTCTCTCCCTTCCTCTCTCTGTCTAAATCAATAAAGAAAAAAGAAGAAGAAGAGGTTTGCAGAAGAATTAGCATTTGAGCTGGGGTTTGAACTATCAGCTGAACAGAAATAAGCAGAGAGAAAAGAGAGAGGGTGGTGAAACTTGAGGCCTCAAAAAGCAGGAGCGAAGCCACAAAGAGGGAAAATTGCTCCTGTCTCATTCCAGGGACAGGGAGAGAACAGGTTTTGAGCCAAGAGTTTAGTAGCTGCATTTTTATGCATTTTTCTAGTATTACAGGCTTTTCTAGGTATTTTCTGTGAAGATGAAGTGGCTGAAAGATAAGGAAACTAGTTTTACTGTGACCAATGGGAGAAGACAAGCTCCTTGGCATAGTAAGAGCCAGAATAGACATATTAATTACTGTTATCTTTTCAAGTTATCTGTCCATCTATCTCCTGGCTTTGCTCAGGCAAAACGACTCACAGTTTTTACAGCTTTGCCCCTTTGCAGGCCATTCACTCAATGTACAGCTACATCTCACATCAAGTTTCCTCTTTTTTTTCTAAAATCACCACCACTTTCCCCCTCTAACTTCTAAGTCATAAAATTACAAAAACATCCATCCAATCACACAAAAAACAAACACACATAAGGCATTAAGCATCTATGCCTTTCACCAGACCCCCAGTGACAGATCTAGCCTTGGTTTCTTGGCTCTCAGTACAGTCCTCAGTCGTCCCCAGTGAATCTCTGAATGTTCAGTTCCTGCTCAAATCTTGACAAAGACACAAAAATGGCAGAGCTGCTTTAGTCAGTCTCAGCATTCAGTGGAGATGGAGTAAAGTTTTCCTTCCAAATCCAGGGTTCAGGGAGTCAAGAAGGCCTGCTGTGGTCTTTCTTAGTCCCAACATCTGCTTAACTTCACTCAGACAAGAAAACCTGTGTCACAAGGGTAAACCGTGGTGCAAGCATAATCTCTAATACTTATACACTTATCTTGTCCATTACCATGTTTTTCCTGTCTTTTTTAAAAATATGCGTTTTTGTTTGTTTGTTTGTTTTCTTTGATTCCCTGACCAGGAATCAAAGCAGGACCTCTCAGTCCAAGGGACAATGCTCAATCCACTGAGTCATACTGGCAGGGCAGATTTTTTCCTCTCTTAATCTAACCTTGATTTCAACACCTTATCATCTATTGGCTACCCTGTTTTTGCCTGGTGCCTGCTTGGATCCCTTACTTAATGTCTAAGTTCGTGCTACCTATCAATGGGGTTGCTTGTGATGGTCAGCCCCTTCTTACTTCCAACAAGAATTCTCATCACTGGATTACCTACCAGGCTGGCCCCTGACGTATTGACAGATTATAATGGATTCATGACAAAAAAAAAAAAAAAAAGCATCTTTGCCCTTTGGGTATTGTGCCAGCCTCATCAGGCTGGGCTACCATAGCTAGCAGATTCTATTGGGGACAGTTCTCTGAGCTAATTGACTAACCCCCAGGCAGGAATCCTAAACCAGATACTAATTTCATCCCAATATCCCAAACTCCCTGCTAAAGCCACAAGCAGCAG